CGAGCCCCGCCCCCGCGCCCGCCGCTTGCGCCCGCCCGGCCCCACCCGCCTTGGCCCCGCGCCCTGCGACCCGGCCCCGGCCCGCGGTTCCCCCACGTCCCCGCCCGCCCCGTCGCCAAGGCCGCCCCCAGCACACCCTCGCCGGCGCCCGCCCCTCCCCCGACTCCACGCCGCGCGCCGCCCCCGCTCCTTCTCGGGGCGCGTCCGAGCCCCGCCTGCCCGGCCGCTGCGATGCGGGGCCGCGCCGCCGGCCCCCACGTCCCAGTCCCCCCAGAAAATTAATCACCAAAAATAATTCCAGAGAAAAATGGAGAGTAAAATCCAAGATGGCGGCGCGGAGCCGCAGCACCGCCTCGCTCCCTCCGCTGACGGGAAAAATGATGTCCCCAAGCGGCCAAAGCCCCCACACCCCCCAACCGGTCCCGCCCGCGCCCCGCCGCGCCGCCGCCGCCGCGCCCCCCGCGCCCCCGGCCTCGATTCGCCGGTCCCGCGCCGGCTCCCGCGCCCGCCACCCGGGGTCTCACCTCCGCCTCGCGACGCCGCCCGTACGAAAAACGGTCCGCCGGCTCAGGACTTCGCGTCCCACGTCCGTGCGCCGGCGCGGTGCCGCTCCGGTCCCCGGGCGTCCTCACCTCATCGCTCCGCAGCGCCCCCGCCGCCGCACCGCCGCCGCCCCGCCGCCGCCCCCGTGAGCCGCCCCGGGACCCCGCGCCGGCACGGTGAAGATACCGAAAAGGAGCCGCGGCCTCGACGCGAGGACACCGTGCCGCGCGAGCGCCACAGGTGCGCGCGCCTCCTGCCAGGCCCAGCCGCCGCGGCACTTCCACGGAGCTCTGTGCGGACGCGGGCACGCGCGGGAGCGAGTTGCGCGCCGGTGCAGATGGCGCCACTGCACTCCAGCCTGGGCGACAGCGAGACTCTGTCTCAAGCAAACCAACCCCAACATAACTTGGTGGCAAGTACTTTCTCCATGACCAAGGGACAGTGGCCATTCTCTGCAAGTTTCTTCATCTGTAAAATGGGTACAATTCAGTGGCCCTCCCTAACAGGGCTGGCTAGGTACACATGGCCACCAGCCCTACTTGCTGTGTAACCTCGGCCACTAATATTCACATCCCTCAGGGCCCCCGATGAGTCGGAAGCCCAAGGGGCAGGGTCTTAACAGCAAAGGGCAGAGCAGGCAGGAGAAGCAGGAAGCCTGGATCAAGGCTCTGGAAGTGAGGAGTCCAAGGTTGGAGTGTCTCTGCACAGTCTCCTTAAAAGGCTGTGTGGTGTCAAGGCAGTTGCTCAACCTCTCTGAACCTTAGGTTTCCTCAAAGTGGGGAGTAGGATGTTGGGAGGAGGAGGAGGAGCGAACTTCAGGGAGCTATTTGGAAAATCCCAGTCCTGGAGGCAGACCTCTTGGATCAGTCAGATCCCACCTGTGCCACCTTCCTCCTGGTACTGGGTCCATCCACCAAACGAGAATAAAAGCTTACACTGTAAGCCAAGCAATGCTCTGTAAATATAAACTTTCTTAATCATCACAACTTTATGGGGCAAGTTTTTTTTTTACTGTTCTCCCCATTTTACAGACAGGCAAACCAAGGCCCAAAAGATTAAAAAGTTCAGTATCTGCCTCTTCCTTCCTGCCTTGGGCTGGGGCTGTGCCCTTTCCACCTCGAAATCTCTCCTTCCCGAAAGGCAAGGGGGCATTAGCTAGTTCCAAACGCAGGTCAAAGACCCCAAGACCCTTCCCCAACCTCGACATCAGCCGGCCCCGCGCCCAGGCGCGTCTAGAGGGCGCTCGCTGCGCGCCAGATGTGCGGGCCCGTCTCGGACGTCCGCTCTCAGCTCGCTCCCAACAAGAGGAGGAGCTGGGGGCAGAGAGAGGAGAGAGAGGCGGGGGTGTGGGGGGGAAGCGGGCCAGGCCCCGCCCAGCCCGCCAGGCCCCGGCGGGGGAAGAAGGAGGCGGAGAGCCGAGCTGGCGTAACGAGACTTTACTGAAAACAGAAAACCGGGCGAACCAAGGATTACAAACAGGAATGTGGACTCGTAGCAAAACAAAACAAAACAGAAAAGGGAGGGGGGACCGGTCGAAAGAACCGAAGGGGGAAGCGAGATCGAGGAAAGGGGCGGAGAATTTTTTTTCTTCTTCCCATTTCTTTAAAAAACCAACACAAGAAAACACACACACACACAACCAACGTTTGTTCCCAAGTAGAAACATAAATAGGGCAGAATCGAACACTCTGTTCTTCTCTCTTCCAAAGGAAAAAAAAAAAAAAGTAAAAGGAAACGAAAGGCAGGGTTTGAGGCTGCGCCCCCTCGGAGCCCCCTTCCGCTGCGCGGTGTACAAGGTGGCAGCCGAGACGCGCGGGTTTGTGCAACACAGGGCGGCCGCGCGGGGGACAGAGGCAGCGCGAGGGCGGGGGGTCATGCGCTCACCCCCCCGGGAGCAGGGGGTCCAGCTTGTCGAGTCCGGGGCGCCCCTTCCGAGTCCTGGGCACCCTCGGGGGGGATCCCCAGGGGCCGCGCCCTCTCTGAGTTCCTCGGCACACTCGGGGGAAGGGGGGTCCCCAGGGCGGCACCCTCTCCAAGTCCGGGGCGCCCACGACACCCCCCCGCGAGCCCGCCCCTCGGGGAGGGTGGCCGCGCATGCGCCCCGCGCGCGGACTCAGTACGCGGGCACCTGGTGCTGGGGCAGCAGCTGGCAGCCGCTGTTGACGTGGCTGAGGACTTTCTGCTTGAGCTGCGCCACCTGCTCGCGCAGCAGGCTCGCCGTGGACGCCAGCTCCGTGTTCTGGCTCTTAAGGGTCTTCACTTTCTCCTCCAGGCGCGAGATGCGCTCCAGCTTGCGCTTGCGGCACTTGGAGGCGGCGATGCGGTTGCGCAGCCGCTTGCGCTCCGCCTTGATGCGCTCCTGCGTGTCCATGTCGATGGGCGACAGCGGCGGGCTCTCGCCGAAGCTCGGCACGTCGGGCACCGTCTGTGGCTCGTCCTTGAGCGCAGCCAGGCGCGGCGGCCCCAACGCACCCGGGGGTGGCGGCGGCGGGAAGGGCACGGGTTCGGCAGCGAAGGCGACCGTCGCGGCGGCCGCCGCGCCCCCCGCGCCCCCGGCCTCGATTCGCCGCGCCCCCGGCGCCGGCTCCCGCGCCCCGCCACCCGGGGTCTCACCTCCGCCTCGCGCACGGCCGCCCGTACGAAAAACGTCCGCCGGCTTCAGGACTTCGCGTCCCACGTCCGTGCGCCGCGCGGTGCCGCCTCCGGTCCCCGGGCGTCCTCACCTCATCGCTCGCAGCCCCGCCGCCCGCACCGCCGCCGCGCCGCCGCCCCCGGTGAGCCGCCCGGACCCCGCCCGGGCACGGTGGAAGGATACGAAAAGGAGGCCGCGGCCTCGACGGCGGAGGGACACCGTGCCGCGCGAGCGCCACAGGGTGCGCGCGCCTCCTGCCAGGCCCAGCCGCCGCGGCACTTCCACGGAGCTCTGTGCGGGACGCGGGCACGCGCGGGGAGCGAGTTGCGCGCCGGGCGCTCCCGACGGCGGAGGGACAAAGGGCGATTCAGAGCTAGCCGTCGCCTCCCCTCGTGGCGGAGGGATCCGCGGCCGGCTGGCGGCGGCTGGTATCCCTCCGCCGTCGCTGCCCTTTAAATCGCGGCTGAGGCGGCGTCGCCCGCGCCCCACGGGCGCCACCTTAGGGTGCCCTGCCGCCTTTACGCGACTGCGTTCCGGTCCCGGTTCCCGCGGGGCCCTGGTGGCTCTCTCGGGCCCTGGGTTGTTGCACACCTGCCCCTTCCAGGGATGGCTCTGGAGCCAGCCTCTCGGGCTGCAGACCTGGGGAAGGGGACCCCCTTTGCCCGCCGCGCCTCCCGGTTGCGCCGAGGGAATTGGCCCCAGGCAGGCGAGCGTCTTTGTTGTGGGAATGGGGGTCACTGGCAGCAGATGCACTCTAAGACCATGTGGGCAGGCTGAACGTTCCTGCGCGGAGCATGCGAGGGAGGAGGAGAGCGGGCGCACCTCGGCCTGGCCCCCCGCTGGCCCCGCCGCCCCCAACACCCATTGCGCCCCGCGCCACGCTCCGCCCCACTCCGGGTGTGCCCTGCGCGCTGGCCGTGCGACCCCTCCTCGGGGAGCCCGGGCTGACGGGGAGATCCTGACGGGCCGGGCCGCCTGCGAGCGGGGGAGCTGCGAAGCTTGCTTGGGCATCGATCTTGCAGTTCAGACAACAGAACAACGACGAGCGCACGCCCGACCCCTGCGGGGCTGCCCAGGGCCTCCGCGCATCCTCCCTCTCACGCCTCAGGACAACCCCCGGAGGTGGGAACCATCCTACTTTACACGGGGAAGTCCTACTTTACACGGTGGGTCCTACTTTACACCTAGGGAAACTGAGGCACGGGGAGTTCCGTGACCTCTGTGACAACTAGTCAGTGCTTGAGCCAGAGCCCTCATCCAGCATTCGGGTGAAAAATGCAGAATAAATCAGGAGGCGGGTGCGGAGGACCTCCAAGAAGTTGAGGTTGGCATAGGCGTGCAGATGCCCGGAACTTGGTGCCGGCAGGTGACCCGAGGAAGCGCAGACCTGGAGGGTGAATTTGAGCGTGTTGGTAAAAGGGGGTGGCTAGGACTTGTATGGACAGTGGGACCAGTCAGTGTCAAGGCCCTGGGAGGGGAGAGAGGCTGCCCTTGCCATGGAGAGGAGGCGGGCAGGGCGGCAGGGCAGGCAGCTCAGTCAGATGTCAGGAAGAGCCGCAGTCTGCCTTAGTTTTCCCCTGCGGCTCCAGGGCCCTCATCCTCCACAAAGGATGATGAATGGAGGCCGTGGACGACCACCTAACACAAGGACTGGGCTAAGTCCAACTAACACTGACGCAAGCGCCTCCCTTATTTGCCCTTATCCTCGACCTCGACTTTGGCTGGTAAACATGATGCTCCTTACGGCCTTCCACAGAGGGAAACTGAGGCACGGTGACTCGCTGGGGGCACATGGCTGACGGAGGCGGAAGCAGGTCTCATCTTCAAAACAGAGCTCCTCCCACTGCCCTCACCTGCACCATCAGCAGCTTCCTCCCTCTGGAGGCCGACTCAGGGTTGGGCGGTGGGCGCCTCTCCTGTCTGCCCTTTCACTAAAAGCAGCGTCATCTGTGGCAGCAGAATGCATTCTGCCACGTTCGTCTTTGCAGACGCAGCTAGCAAATGATTGCTTTGGTGTTCTTGGTTTCTGGTTTATCAGAAACTTTCCAAGATTTTCATAGTGCCTGGCTCCAAATACTCAGCTTGCACCCCAGAAACAGGGAGACTGCCTTTGCCACGCCCACCACCGAATGCCCACGGGAGGCGAGCTCACTGAGGAAACACCATCTGGCTCTAAGTCTACCTCGGTCTCAGGCCCCCAAGTCCAGCTATGCCTGAGCAGCCCTCCAGAGTCCCCAAAACCGATGTCCTCCCCACTCCCACCTTTCCAGAGCCCACCCCAGCATAGAGGTGCTCTCCACATGCCCTTCAGGGTGAATGCCAAATCCTGAGTCCTGTGAAGCCCCCATACTCCCAAGATGCAGGCACTTCCTTGTATTCACTGCCCGATGCCAAGTCAAGTGTTCTGGGCACCTTGCAAGGCTGGGCCCACAGCCTGGCAGGGACACAGATGAGCAAACCCAAGCCCAGCCTGCTCCCAGGCCCCCAGTTCTGTGTCCATTCTTCCCTCAATCCCCCTACGTTGCCAGCTGCTCTTCCAGCCTCAGCTGAGAGGCCCAGGGTAGGCCAGGGCTCCTGGCAGAGCTGAGTTGGGGTTCAGGACCTTGGTGGAGCCGTGCAGGGGGCTTGAGGCCTTCGGGGGTCCCCGCTCAGGGAAGCCAGGGCTAAGCTGGGCTGAGAGCACAGCCCAGGAGAGCCCTCCCTAGGGAGACTCCCACAGGAGAGGCCAGTTGGAGGCTCCTCCTGCCAGCTGGCAGGGGAGGGAGAGCAGGAAGTAGGCGGCCAGGCACCTGCCCAGTCCCTGTGTGACAGGAGCCTTTGGTATTTACACTGGGAGACCTCTAGACACCCCAAAGTGGAAGAGCTGAGCCACAGAGCCTGGGGGGCCTCCCCAGCCTGGCCGGACCGAAACGGATTAACAGCTCTAAAGAAAGACCGAGTCAGCGGAAGGGGCCTGGCTGGCCCCGGAAGCACCGTGAGGCTGGCCAGGAGTGCCAGCCTAGCCCGGAGCTGGCCTGGGAATGGCACACTTGCCAGGGCACTGACTGAGGCCATGAAGTCTATTTTGGTCTCCCTAGCAGGGCTGGCTCTGGTGTGTCCAGGGGCACTCCAGCCTAGTGCTACCCACCCTGCTATGCTCTGCCACTCCCTTTCCTCGAGTGCCAGGTTCACCCAGTGACAGGATGGCAGGGATTCACTTGCTTTGATCCTGTGCCTACTAGGATGGCCCACAGGTCACGTTGACCCCACAATTCCAGGTTGGAGGCAGGTTGCTTCTCATTGTAAAGTGATGAGTTGTCTTCTGTGCTCCGCAAATGCGTCTGCCCCGGGTCCCCACCCCACCCCGAAGCTAGGACTACTCTGATGGGAGCAGGTGTCTGAAACCAGAGGCAGAGTGGGGCGTACCCAGCTATCCCAGTGGCCCCTCTGGGCGGCTGGCGGGTTTCCTGGTCACATTGCTGAGCACCACTACCCCCGGCACCATTCTTGCCTTCCACCTGCCCCTCCACTGCCACTGTCCTTGAATAGAAGAAACAGTCACTAAAGCTGGGCGTGGTGGCTCATGCCTGTAATCCCAGCACTTTGGGATGCCAAGGCAGGCATATCTCCTGAGCTCAGGAGTTTGAGACCAACCTGGCTGACATGGTGAAACCCGTCTCTACTAAAAATACAAAAATTAACTGGACGTGGTGGCACACGCCTGTAATCCCAGCTACTCAGGGGGCTGAGGCAGGAGAATGGCTTGAACCTGGAAAGTGGAAGTTGCAGTGAGCCGAGATCATGCCACTACACTCCAGCCTGGGCGACAGAGTGAGACTCTGTCTCAAAAAAAAAAAAGAAAAAGAAACAGCCACTGAAAGGTCAAGTGACACACCCGAGACCCCTGGTCAACAGCAGCAAGACTTGACAGCAGCTGCCAACAGAGGTTGGCATGAGTCTGACCTGGGTTTGAATCCCAGCTCTGCAGTTTGCCAGTCATGGAATTTGGGGCAAGTGATGTAGCCTGTCAGCCCACCATTCCCTCACCTGTGAAAAGGTCCATTCCTTGGACCGGCCTTAGTAAGTTCCTCTGTAGCTTTACAATTGTTTATGTGTTTCAGATGCTCAAATTCTCTCTCCAGCCTGGACTTCTCTGAACTTCAGACACCACCATTTCGATGCTTAATAGGCATTTCAGATATAACATGGCTAAACCGGGGGACACACACGAAAGCAAAACCCCCTCCTACCACACCCTTCCACCTCTCAAACAGGTACCCTTCCAGCACTCAAGTCTAGGACATAGTCCCCTCCCCTCCCCTCCCCTCCCCTCCCCTCTTTCTGTCCTTCTTTCTTTTTTGAGATGGAGTTTCACTCTTCTCACCCAGGTGGGAGTGCAGTGGTGCGATCTCGGCTCACTGCAACCTCCACCTCCCAGGTTAAAGCAATTCTCCTGCCTCAGCCTCCCAAGTAGCTGGGATTACAGGCGTGTGCCACCATGCCTGGCTAACTTTTGTATTTTTAGTGGAGATGGAGTTTTGCCACATTAGCTAGGCTGGTCTCAAACTCCTGACCTCAGGTGATCCACCCGTCTTGGCCTCCCAAAGTGCTGGGATTACAGGCTTGAGCCACCATGCCCGGCCGAGACCTAGTTTTCATTCTTCCTTCATGGCTTCAGGGTTCTTTCTCCTTAGCACACACGACAGCTCTAGCATTCTGTATCTTTCAGTATTCATCCTAGGGCTGACTCTCCCTTTAGACTGTCAGCTTCTCAAGGGCAGGGAGCTTTGTCTCATTCATTGCTGTGTCTCCAGCATCCAGAACCACCCCTGGGGACATGGTGTTTGAGGCTTCCTCTGCTTTCGCTGAAGGGAGGGAGGAAGGAAGAGGGAAAGATACTAATACTCTTTCCAGGGTTGCTACAAGGATAAAAGGAGGTGCATGGGGCTCTGTAATCACTCCCCAAACTCTGGGGGCTCAATCTTGC